AAGGAGACAGTACCAGACAAATTCCCCATTCCAGTGATTGATGAGTTATTAGATGAGTTGCAAGGAGCGGTGGTGTTTTCAAAAATGGACCTTAAGTCGGGCTACCACCAAATCAGAATGAAGGAAGGTGACATTCAGAAGACTGCGTTCAGAACACACGAGGGGCACTATGAGTTCTTAGTGATGCCATTTGGGCTTACTAACGCCCCCGCTACCTTTCAGTCCTTGATGAACAGGGTGTTCAGGCAACACTTGAGGAAGTTTGTGCTAGTCTTCTTTGATGATATTTTGGTGTACAGCCAGACCGAGGAGGAACATTTAGAGCATCTAAAGGAGGTTTTGGGGATCCTACAGGCACATCAGCTGAGAGCTAATTTAAAAAAATGCAGTTTTGCCCAATCAAAGGTAGAATATTTGGGACATATAGTGTCTCAAGAGGGAGTTGCAGCTGACCAGTCCAAAATTGAAGCAATGCAGAAATGGCCCATACCCAAGAACATCAGGGGGTTGAGAGGTTTCTTGGGACTGACGGGATACTATAGGAGGTTTGTGAAGGGGTACAGTTCCATCGCCTGGCCATTGACGGAGCAGTTAAAGAAAGACAACTTCTCCTGGGGTGATGCAGCGACCCAGGCCTTCGAAAGGTTAAAGAAAGCCATGACCACTGTACCAGTTCTAGCACTCCCAGATTTCAGCCAGGTATTCGTGGTAGAGACTGATGCGTCAGGGTATGGCTTAGGAGCAGTATTGATGCAGAATCACCGGCCTATAGCATATTTCAGTCAGGTGCTATCGACTAGGGCTAGATTGAAATCAGTGTATGAGAGAGAGCTGATGGCCATAGTCTTGGCCATTCAGAAATGGCGCCCTTATCTTTTGGGACGACATTTCATTGTTCGTACCGATCAGAGGAGTCTGAAATACCTGCTGGAGCAAAGGATGGTTACTGAGGAACATCAGAGGTGGCTGTCAAAGTTGTTGGGTTATGATTTTGAGATCCAGTATCGGCCGGGGGTGGAGAATAAGGCAGCTGATGCCTTGTCTAGGTGTGTGGGGGAACTTCAGGAGGTGGCAGTTTCAGTCCCTTTGATGATTGATTGGGGGGCCATCCAAGAAGAGAGTATGCAGAATGAAGAATTGAAGAAGGTCAGAGAAGGCTTGATGAAGGGCAGTAGCAATCATTCAGGGTACTATCTGGAGGGAGAGAGGCTACTCTATCAGGGAAGGTTTGTGATGCCACGAACATCAGTACACATCCCTCACATATTGCAGGAATTCCACGGCAGCGCAGTTGGGGGTCATTCAGGAGTACATAAGACATATAGGAGGTTGGCATCGGAGCTCTACTGGAAGGGGATGTATAAGGATGTTGAGGAGATGGTGGCAAGGTGTGAGGTGTGTCAGAGAAATAAATACATGGCCATGGCACCAGGGGGACTGCTCCAACCATTAGCACTTCCAAACAGAGTATGGGAGGAAGTGTCTATGGATTTTATTGACGGCCTACCACGTTCAGAAGGGTTCACAGTTATCTTTGTGGTGGTGGATCGACTCAGTAAATACGCACATTTTATCCTCCTACGACATCCTTACACCGCAGTGTCAGTGGCGGCAGCATTTATCAGGGAAGTGGTTCGATTACACGGGATTCCAGAATCTATTGTGTCGGACAGAGACAAAGTGTTCCTCAGTCAGTTTTGGAGAGAACTGTTCAGAATGCAGGGCACAACTCTCAAGAGGAGCACCGCGTACCACCCACAGACAGATGGACAAACAGAAGTTGTCAACCGGAGTTTGGAGACTTATTTGAGGTGTTTTGCCTCTGAAACACCCAGGAAATGGGCTAAATGGTTGCCATGGGCGGAGTACTGGTATAACACTTCTTACCATTCGGCATCCCAGATGACTCCTTTCAAGGTGCTCTATGGAAGAGACCCCCCACACTTAGTACATTATGGGAAGGGACATACACCTGTCTCTTCAGTCGAACAGTACTTAGAGGAGAGGGACCAGGTGTTGGAAGAGTTGAAGAAACATCTGGAGAGGGCACAACAAATAATGAAGAAGCGAGCAGATACCCATAGAAGAGACATACAATATGAAGTGGGGGAAAAAGTGTTTTTAAAGCTAAGACCCTACAGACAGAGATCAGTGGCTAGCAGGAGGAACGAGAAGCTGGCCCCGAGATACTTTGGCCCGTATGAGATCTTGGGGAGGGTGGGAGCAGTAGCGTATCGTTTGAAGTTACCTCCCTATGCTACTATACATCCGGTGTTCCATGTGTCACAGCTGAGGAGAGCCCTCGGGGAGCACGCAATTAGCTCCGCATTACCAGCAACAATGACGGAGGATTGGGAAGTGATATTGGAGCCCCTCGAGCTTATGGGGGTAAGATCAGATCAAGAAGGCAACAAGGAAGTGTTGATTCAATGGAAGGACCTCCCTGAGTTCGACGCGACTTGGGAGCCGTTTGAAAGAGTGAAAGAGCAATTCCCCTCCTTTCACCTTGAGGACAAGGTGAGTTTTTGGGAGGGGAGTAATGTTACGCCTGGACCGGTCCCAGCTGGACCGGTCCGGTTCTACACCCGACGAACCAACGTCGGGCGGAACCAGACGGAACGCGCGGAGCGCGTGTCGGGGGGCCCAAACAGCGGCTAAAACGCATGGGGGAGGGAAAATTTTTGAATGGGAGGCTGTTTTAGGAAGTCCATTATTGTCCTTTATGATTATTTTGTATAATTAGGAGTTTTGGGGGGATTGGCGGCTTATCTTGCATTTGAGTTTTCTCTTTGAGATCTAGGTTTTGTCTTGGGCTCTTGGCTTCGCCGGAGACTTTGGAGAGTACGTTCTTCCTCTCGAATTGAAGAACAAATTGTATCTTGCTATTTGTTTCGTCTACTAGTAAAAATACAAGTCTTTGCTTGCGTTGTCTCCCAATATTCTCGCAATATTCACTGTTTTTCCTGCGCATAGTTGCTGTCCACTGTTGGAGACAGCAGTTTTTCTCCTTGTTCGGCTTCAGTTTTGGTTAGGAACTACTTGAAATCAAGTATTTCCTATCAAATTGGTATCAGAGCTCCGATTCGGGACAACCGGCGGCTGAAATTCTGAAATTTCAGCAAGATCGTCGTCTCCGGAAAAAGATTTTTGTGGATCCGTTAAAAGAAAGATGGCCGGGAAGAAGGTGGAAGCTTTAGAAGGCGAGTTTGGTCAACTGAAGACAGATCTGGAGGGGAAATTCATGGAGATCTCCACCAACAATGAGAGGTTGGAAGGGAGGTTCGCGGCGATGGAAGAAATGATGAAGAAATTATTGGAGATGAAGACCCATCCGGACACATCGGAAGTGAGAGAGACCACTGACGGCCATGGCGTAGGAGGAAATCCGAACCCAATCCGGGGGAGGAGGAATCCGGAGGTGGAGATTCTTGAAGGTGACGACGACATGCCACCTCTAGAGCCATTCTCCAGAGAGGAGATAAGCACGGGGAATGATCGTCGAGGTGCTGATTTTCAGCGTCGAGGTGCTGATTTTCAGCGTCGAGGTGCTGATTTTCAGCGTCGAGGTGCTGATTTTCAGCGTCGAGGTGCTGATTTTCAGCGTCGAGGTGCTGATTTTCAGCGTCGGGGGGGCACGGGGGAGTTTTGGGAGGGAAATTTTGAATGCGAGGGGCTGTTTAGACATTTTGTAAAACTCCTTTGTGATTAATGAGGAGGTGAGGAGGAAAAGGGGGGATTATCTTGAATTTGAAATTTTCATTTTGAGATCTTGGTTTCGTTTTGGGCTCTTGGCATCGCCGGAGATTGTGGAGAGTACGTTCTTCCTCTCGGATCGAAGAACAATTGTATCTTGATTATTTTGCTTTGCATCTAGTGGAATACAAGTCTTTACTTGTGTTTTCTCTCAATTTCTCCCTATTTCTCGCTGTTTTATCGCTGTGGACAGCAGTTTTGCTATTGGTTTTTACTGATTTGGGTTAGAAATACTTGTGATATAAGTACTTCCTATCATTAGCAGCACTATTATTATTGCGTCATAACTTTTTTTGGTTTATGAATTGTTTTTGGTAGTTGGGCAATGATTGAATTTTTTATGAAACCGTTTATATGCCCTTTGCTGCATGTACCCATTTCCATTTTAAAAAAAAATTGGTTTAGGGGCTGTTTGTTATGAAGCATTAGGAGTGTGTAGCATTATTTTTCCCTTCATTATAACTTTTTTTTGTGTTTGAAACTAAGTGCAAAATTAAATTTTGAAGAATTTGAAATGCCCCAAAATATTTGTTTTCCTTTATTTAAAAATCGCCCAAATAGGATGATTTCCAAATCTTGCATTTTTGCCGCTCTCGATTCTTATCTGTCCTCTCTCGTCGTAGCCATTCCTCCCAACCATCGTCCACCATGGCCGCTCTTTGCATTTGCTCTCCAGCATTAGCCCCTGCTCATACTGCTTCCTGCCGTTGCATTTCATTACATTTAAATATTAATGAAGACCATAAAAAATATTTATATAATGAGTGTAGTTTAAACAAAAATCCAATCAAACAACTCGCTAATGACTGCTGAGCTTCTTCCACCTGCATCTGTTATGCTTGCATTGATTCGAACTAATAATCCACCTGCATCTGTTATTCTTGCATTGATTCGTACTAATAGTTGTTAATAGAATTATGTTTCACTCAAAATTTAGCATTTCTACTATTGGATAAATAAATGAAAATCTGCTCAACCAATATATGAGTTGAATGAAAAACTGAAGAGGAGGTTAATTAACGTGCATAAACATAATAAAATAAAAATCTTAACTATTAATGTTGAACTAAAAGTTTGCATGCCCGTAGAGTTAGTTGTTGCATGTTGAATTTAAGTTTCGCAGGCTCGATTTTTATTTGTATTATATATTTTTTTTGACAAGATATTAATCAATCTTAGTAGAAATGTAGCTTTTTTAATCTTGAATGCTAGCCATTATTGTTTACTAACATTTAAATTTCACAAAGGAGTTCTCAGATATTTGCCAGAATCCTGTGACTCCTAATATGGCCGCGCAACAGTCTTCCTCAGCTAGCAATCAGTCTGCTCAGGTTGATTTATTGCCTAGGCCTACTACAATGCCCATTAATTTTGGGTCCCAGCAGTTGCCGCTGGATGGTAGACAATTTTCACAAGACATGGTCCAAGCTACAGCATCTGCTGGCAGTGAGCCTTTTTCATTAACTTTTTCAAACAAGCAACCAATAGAGAAGCTGCATTCACCCAAGGATCAAATTTCTGAGTCTGTATTTCGTGGTTTGCAACAGCCCCACCCCCAACGAACTAGTAAATTTCATTCCGGAATTGAACCTTTGCCAAGAATTCAAAATCAAGCCTCTGCTAATGTTGGAGCATCATTTTCATTAGCACCTAACAAACAACAAGCACAGTTGGAATCTTTACAGAAACTCCAAACAACATTGCCTCTGATTGCAGGGTCACAACAGTTGTCATCGATTATAAATAAACGCCTGGTAAAGACAGAGCAACCTGTGAAGGTCCAGCCAGAGTTTGAATCGGTTAGGTCAAAACTGAGGGAATCACTTGCTGCTGCATTGGCTACAGGTTCTAAGGAGCAAAATAAACAAAAATTTCTTGAAAAAAATTCCATTGGCGAGGAAAAATGCTTGTTAAAGCAGGCCGAAGTTTCTTCTTTGCAAAATGAAATTTACCCCTCGGCTGAAGATGGTTCTTCTTGTGAAAGTTTGCCAAACTATTTTACTTCTGGCAGACACGTTCAGAAGTGTGATGGAAACCAAGGATTAACTAGTGAGATTGGCTCAAGTGAAAATTTCAGTGTTAAAAAAGTGGCAGATAACATTTGTAATGTGCAAGAAGATATTGAAAAACCTGATATTGTGATGGACGATGTTCCATTTAGTAGTCATTCCATCATGGTAGATGAGCTCTTGCAAGGTCATGGCCTCCACTGGGCATCTGATTTTGATTCTGTGAATTCAGATTCGATGCTGAACTCTGCCCCGAAAAGGCCTAAATTGATGGATGCGGATGAAAAAAATGTCACAAAGGACTCAGCACTTCAAACTTGTGAAAATTTGTCTGTTCTAATTGAAGCAGAACTGTTTAAATTGTTTGGTGGTGTTAATAAGAAATACAAGGAGAAAGGTAGATCGCTTTTGTTTAATCTGAAAGATGCTAGTAATCCGGAGCTGATTGAACGGGTATTATCTGGTGATGTATCTCCTGAACGGCTCTGTTCCATGACTGCTGAGGAACTTGCTTCAAAGGAGCTTTCAGAGTGGAGGCAAGCCAAAGCAGAGGAGTTTGCACAGATGGTGGTGTTACCTGATACGGATAATATCAGACGTTTAGTAAAAAAGACTCATAAAGGAGAATTTCAAGTAGAATTTGATCAGGATGATGGTGCTCATATTGAGGTTGGACTGGGATCTGAAGTTCTTACTAAGATGTTAGCAAAATCCAATGATGTAGATCAAAGTTCGCCTCGATCCAATGATAAGGGACTGACTTTATCAAGAACCCATGACTTGGAGAAATCTAATGACTTGTTGCAAGGTGACAAGTCTGATTCAGTTGGAAAAAATGTCTCCAGTCGTTTAGATCAAAGATTGCCTGAGAAAACTGATTATATACAGGACTTCATGGTAGAAGAGTTGAAAGACACGGAGCTTCTCCCTCCTGTTGTTTCTCTAGATGAGTTTATGCAGGCCCTTGATTCTGAACCCCCATTTGAAAACTTGGAAGTTAATAACTTAAAAGAAAATCCTAGTTCTGGTGATAGGGACTTAGATAGACCAGAGTCTGAGAGCATTCATGCGTATGACAGTTCAGGGCATAAGGCTGATTCTACTTCTGATGTCTCAGCAAGTAAGTTGGATTCCAGTTTACATTCAGGTCATATGCACACCAAGCATACAAAAGAAATTTCCTCATTAAATGATGGTCAAGTGGATTATAGTTATCAAAAGGGTGATGATAAGCTGAAAATGGATGATGCTCAAGAGAAACATGTTGCAAGAATTCCTGATTCTGCGTCCAAGTGCAATATTATTTGGGAGGGTTTTCTTCAGCTGAATGTTTCTGCTCTGTCAAACGTTGTGAGCTTCTTTTTAAGGTTTGTTACTTATTCGTTTCAGCATTTTTTTTGTTGGTACTGATGCATTGAAAATTTCTCTATATATATTTTTTAAATTTATACCCCCCCCCTTTTTAATATTTTGTGTCAGCTATGTCACCAAAGACCGACGTTGAATTTGCTGATATGTTTTAAGTAATATTTGTGCGTAGTTCTTGCTTGCTTTAAGAAGTTTTTTCTCTTAAAGTTGGGTTGGCTTGGGGTTGATAAGTTCCGTATAATTTCTTTTACTAAAGGGTCACTTGGCTTTAACGTTATAAAACACAAGGAATTTTTGTGCAGTCGTTAATTACTTGAGAGAAGCTACCATGTAATTTATAACTTAAGATTTGTTCTTTCGGACTTCTGGATTTACATGCATCAGCTTTATTTGTTTGAACTATGGAGCTTGTTGAGCATTAGTGAATGCGTACTTCTTATAAGCTTGCATTGTGTCTTCTATTCCTGGCCTATTTCTCCATTTTACTTTGGGATTATTTATTGTTATTTACTGTTTCGTGTGCTGATTAAAAGTAGTTATGGACAAGTGTTTTATTCAGTATATAACGCCTTTCAAAAGAAGAAAAAAAAAAGTTACATTGTGTTAAACATTGCTATAGATTTATCATAAAAAAAATATGTTACATTGTGTTAAACATTGCTATAGATTTATCATGACATATATAGAACCATAACTATATCATTTTGTTACTTTAATACTTTAGGGCTGCTCAGTCTTTCTTTCTATTCATATTGTTACTACAATTTTAAAAAGGTTTTCTGTGCGACCAAGGATTTACTTTGAATATTAATTTTCCTTCTTGGAAGGATACTAAGAAATGCCTGGTCTGTTTTGCCAAAATTTGAAGGTCAAAGGGAAGCTATTAGGAGTTGTTTTTTGAGTTGATGAAATCATAAAAATATCTTCGAAACTGAAGAATAATGAAGATTTTTCTATGATAGTGTTGCTAGATAATTTTCAGTTTTTCATTGTCAGGTTTTACTACGGATGGATTTCGACTTCTCACTGTCTTAGTCACCAAGTTCCTGTCACGTTATAGCTTGGTTCCCTAGTTAAATCCTTATGTTTTTTTCATTTGAAATGTACTTGAAATCATGTATGTGCTCTTATTTGTACTATTTTTTTCTTGCTGAATGCTTAACCATATGGTATTATGTCTTTACCATTGAAAGTGAAGGTAATTTAACTTGGGTAATTTTTCAGAATGTTAAACATTCTGTGATCTGAGATTTAGCAAATTAAATTTACTCTTCCGTGTAATGTCTTCAATTAATTGATTCCTGACCTGAAATAATTGGGATGTTGAGTTGATGTTTTGTGGGTCAGGAGAAAGCCAAAATGAGATTTTAGGTGTTTTCTAATTGATACTGTTTTTATTTATTTATTTTTTTAATATAATTATCGGGAGTTTTCTATGGTTGATAATGACCATCTTCATGGAGCATTTCACAAAAAACTTTAAATGTTTTTTTTTTTCTTTTAGATTTTATTGCTTTTCAGTGTAATATAATTTTAATAATTTTAACTTAGTTACAGAAAAGTTGAACTGTAAGCTTTTAGCCATTTTCAGGTGGTAGTACCTTGAAGCTGCTTTACTGGAAGAGTGATCTTCTCTTAAAGTGATATATACTTTTTTATTTTTGGGTTTTTGAACATTCATGATTGCTCACTTACTAACTTGTTGTTTCGTAGTGGTGAGAGAACATCAATGCAAGAGTGGCCCAGCTTTCTTGAGGTGAAAGGAAGAGTTAGATTAGACGCATTTGAGAAGTTCCTGCAAGAGCTTCCTCTCTCTCGAAGCCGAACAATTATGGTATTGCACCATATGCTGGAATATTCTCTTTTCAATATTTTCTCTGCTTTGTATGTATGCAATTCTGCTTTTTTGCCATGTTGGATTTGTGCTTTCCTTCTTGATACCTGTGCAGAAAATAACTTCGATCCATCCTTGTGAAGCATGGATTGCAATGTAGGACAAGAGAAACAACGTAATATAAACCACCGTGAATCTTAAAAATAGAGGTCACGGGATCCCAAAAAACCCCTGCAATTGATATATATATATATATATAAATATGATAGTATATATATATTTGAATGGCATTGATTCATAAATAATTCTTTATGGGTAATACAATTTGTGGAGGATGGCACACACTACATTTCTCGGTCATGTTTGTTGGATTATCATTTATGTAAAAATTTACATGCATGTTGAATGATTTTTTTTAAAGGCAGTATCCAAATGGACTTCTCTCTTCCTAGGGTGAGAATATGCTTTTATTTGTTTATTTTTAGATTTGTAGAAAATGTAACCATGCTTGAGGCTTCCATTGATTAGGGAACAGAGGGTTTGTTATATTCACCAAAGTCTATGTCACACATTGGATTGTTTTATACAACAAGAAAGTAAATCGTCGATTCTATTTCATATTTTTCATAATAATTTAATTGGTTGACAGGAAAATAAGAAAAAACAAAAAGGATCGAATAGCACATAGAAGCCTTATAAGAGTTTAATTGTACAGGTTCGTTTCACCATTCAAATCTATTAATGGTGCTTTAATATCACTAACTAAACTTCTATTTCCAATCCATTTGAAAGGTTTAATGCTTTGAACTTTCAATTTAAGTGGTCAGCGAGAAAGTTTAAATTCTTAATTGAGAAAATGAAAAAAAAAAAAAAACACTGTTGATTGAACAATATATAGAAGCCTCATAATATTTTAGTTGTACATATCAATATAATAATTTAAAATCATTAAATTATATATTTATGCACACACATGCACACCCTTTTTTGTGTGCATGTGTGGTAGTTAGTATCACACACGTGTGTGCGCCCCTGTGTCTTGGTATGTAAAATCATATTGAAATATAAACTTGTATTGTTGATCATATATGACTATTTTCTTTAAAAGTGTTTGGGGCTGAATTTTTTATGACTTTCATTGATGTTTATTTGAGTGATGCTTGTTTTGCATTCAATTCTTTTGGGAATTCAATTTTATTATTTGTTTGGATTGAAGTGAGCTCATTTCTATCTATCATTCTATTAATTTTACATGATTTTATTGTTATTATGAAGAAAAATAATATTATAACCCAATCTCCTTTTAATTTTATATTATTATTTTATGCAATAAACAAAAATGATGGTGGCTTTGAAGTTCTCATTAGTGAAATATAAGGTTTAAAAAGACGAAATTGGAAATGGAGGCATTTTGCCTTGGCAAGGTGTGGTGTAAGCCTTGAAATAAAAAATAAAAAGTCATAAAATTACAAATAATTCATAAAAATGACATAAACTATCAACATTTTTACTTATTTCACCTGCATAAAGACATAAATCACAATTCTAAATCTTAAGTTTAAAATAAGATCCAGGATAAACACTCAAAATCTAAATACTCCGTGAGGAGCAGGATCCACAATGGGTTTATCTTCATTTTCATACTCTTTAAAAGAGTCATCATATGAAATAGTACGATCATCCTTGTATTTGTGTCATCTTTATCTTCAAAATCTGTTTCAATTATAATATTTTTCTTATATGTCCCTATATCAATTAACATTAGATTTAGTATAATTTATTGTTAAACAACATATTAATAACAAAATAAAGTAATCTGTTATACTTGAATTACTTTTTGATTTTCTTGAAACTCCAACCCCACTTTAAATTAACACTAATATCTTTGCATCATTAAAGGCCATATATTTATTATTAACTTCAAATCTTTCATTATTTTTTGGTTTTAGACATTCATCATCAGATAATATATCATTAATAATCGAGTCTATTTCATCATCACCGGTTACTTGCCTGTGTAATTTGGGGTGTCTATCTCTCAATTTTTTTATTAAAAATAACATAACTTTCATTGGTCTTGCTTCCAATCCGTTTTTTATCTTTGGATGTTTTTTTTTCAAACCATTGTGGAACATGAAACTTACTTTTCACCTTTACTAAATCAAGTTTTCAATATCTGACATCACTTTCATTCAGTTGCTGCTAAACAGTCACTGAAATTGTTTTAAAATTCAGTTTCAAGCACACTTTCAAACACTTAACATCTAAACAAATCATCTCATGATGAAGCACGGAATGTAGGAATAGTAAGATAATGATATTAAGAGAAATATGAAATGGAGAGGCAGAATGAGAGTGAAATTCTCAAAACTAGTAATTTGGCTTATGATAATTTAAAAGTCCCATAGGTTGTGCATACCTCGTTTTCTGTTTTTATCCTTCTTGAGTTCAAACTGTAAGAGTCCAATACATCTTAGAGTTTTTAGGAATGAATAAAAAAATTCAAAATGTTGTGTTCACATTATAACTTTGGCTTCTTTTGGGACGACTTTCTTCCTGCTTTTTAAAGCAGCTTTTTAGTATAGAAATTTTAATTTTTAAACTAAAAAACTATTTTAAGAAGCAATAAAAAAGCGAGTCTCAAATGAAGCCTTTAAGTGTCCGGAGCTTAACACAAGATGATGGCCTTATACCAGTTTCTGCTTCATATTCTGAACCCATTCGGATTATGGGTTCTATAGTAAGAGTCTATTCTAGTTTTAGTGAAATTTAGGATACTTCTATGTTGTTTAAATAAATTATTGAGCTCTTTTTGTTGCAGTAATTCATTTTCTTTAGTTGTTATCGCCACGTGGTTGCAAAAGTGAAATAAGAATCTCATGAACTCAATTATTCCATCCTAGTTGAATACAAAATAAATAAATAAAAGGTATTTCAGCTATATTAATTTCCTTTGATGGTGGATGCTCTCGTCCTGTAGTCTGGTCCTCTAGTAGTATTGTGGGAATTGATATTGAATGTTTGATTTGTGTGTAATTTATAAGAAATTGATTTTACCAATGAAATTATAACATATGCAGTTTTTCTTTATGATTCTCGTTTAAGCTCAGTGAAAAGTTGAAGGAAAACTGAAGTGTGAACAACATTATGTTCCATTCATTCTTTAATTTATTGGTAAGGCTTGTGATTTTACATTATTAACAACTGGCCGCAATTGCATTCTGGAGTGCTGGAGCTTAGGGACTGCTGTCTCCTATGCTAGAAAAAATTATTCTGTGTGGAATTCAGACTCCAATGAAAATGTGTCACATCTGATACCGAGCGGTACCGAGGCTTAGTACCGCTCGGTATCTAAGCATAAACCGGACGGTTCTCCTGTCCGGTGTCCTCACAGAATAATCTCTCCCTCCGCTGCTCTCACTTGTTACAGGTTGCTCTCTTATTAGGCGTAGCTGGGAGCTTTTTTGTTTTTCATGGGCAGGTGGTACTTAAGCTTTCGCCACACTGCACATGGACCTCACATTTATGCCATGTATATCCTCCTCGTACCAGTTTTATCTCATTATTTTCCCATTTAAAGTTCAATTCTGAATTGATGCCCAATTGCAGCTCTTATAATACGCTGCATTTTGCCAGTATTAATGGTAGTATTAATGGTTTATATTAATGCTGACGCATCAGAAGTAGAAAGAAACTCTGGAGCTATATATATTGCTTAATGCTGGTGATGTTGTGCAATGTGTTTTCCTAAATGCTCTTTGATCCTTTGTATTGGTAGTATGGCTTAGATTTCTCTGTTATGGCCTGTGTAAGTTCAGGAATCTGGTAGATTGTTTTTCAGTTCAATAGATGGTCTCCAGACTCCACAGCAGCAGTTTCAGCATGGAACTTCTCAATATTTGTGTTTCCCAGAGAAGAAGTGATTATTATGATAAAAATAACTTTGGCTTCGTTTGGAACGGCTTTCTTGCTGCTTCTTAAATAAAATGATCTTTTAGTACAAAAATTTTAATTTTTGTAATAAAAAGTTGCATTAAGAAAAGGAAGCCCTGCGATATCTGAAGTTCTGATGGGAATGTATGCCGTGATTGCAGCACTGCTCTGTTATTTATAGAAAGAAAAATCTAATATTGTCGATGCAATGGCCCTATTTAAAGGTAATATAAGTTTCGAAGTGTTATGGCTATCAGTGACGGTTTGCTCTCCGCTTCTCGCAACAAAGCAGAATGAGGAAGAACAAAGCGAATTTTATCCAGCTGGATTTAAAGCAATGGAATCAGAATGATATATGTTTCTGGGTGTATTCACTCTTATAATAATAAAAAAAATTCTGATATTAATTTTATAAGAAAGGTTTTAAACGATATTGTTAGTGTAATATAAAGTTTTAATTTTAATGTGAATTTAATAAATTTTTAAGTTTTATTATGATATAATTTTGTATAAAAGTACTTTGGAGCCATGCCCACTCTTTGTGATCTCTTCTGCTCTCAATAATGTCACCAGCTCGTGTACGCCAGAAAGTGGAAGCTTACTACTGGGATAAGAGCAATAGAGGACGATATGTTGCAAAGACGAAAGCAGGGACAGAAATTCTATTTATTGTAAAAAATTTTATGGAGAATCCTTTAAAAAAATGGAACTTTATAGTCCAAATTCTGTACTAAACCCTAAATCTAAGAAAAGGCTCATTGTTGGTGGTAGAATTTTTTCTTAAATGCATAAATAGCACTATTTAAAGATTACAAAATATGTTTATTATGAGAAAAAGTTGATTTGTGGTAGAAATTTGCTTAAGCAAATCCATAAATTTTGTTCAAAAAAGGTTTTTTTTTTTTTATCTCACTCGTAGATCTATTAGGAATTTCTTGCGAGATTTTGGCAAAATCCCCATTTAGTTGGTTGAAAGAATAATATATCTTCGAGGATCTATTAATAATGAAGAAAAGTAAAATCTAAAATAAATTGCAATTGATGTGTTTTTTACTATGTTTGGCCATGCCCAAACCACCAATGTTGATTTATGGTTCTCGAGATGCTCAATTTTGACTTCTGATCTTGGTTGTTCTGCAAACCTCTATGAACTATCTGCCTCTTATTTGGAAAAAATAAATTGAAGTATTCAACGTAAGCTGATGCGATATTCCTTATTTGATGCAGCTAATCGAATTCATCTGGAAGGAGGATTCTCTGGAGAGTGGGCGTGTTCATCTCTCCGAGGTATTGCTTTGCATTCTTTAGTTCTTCATAATCACTGATTATTTGATTTTATGTCTAATCTTTCCTTCCTACTACAGGCCATCCACTCCTATATAACAGATGATAGGCTTGGATTTGCTGAGCCAGTCCCAGGAGTTGAGCTCTACCTCTGTCCTTCCCACCCCAAAACAATCGCCATACTTGCAAATCACCTCTCCAAGGACCTCCTTGATAGCATCCACTCTGTCCTTAATGGCCTTATTGGCATTGTTGTATGGAGAAGACCTCATGCAATTGTATCACCTAGATTGTCTTCCCACCACCACAAGCATCATGGTAGCTCGAAGATGCATTCGAGTTCGAAAAAACGGCACGAAAGCATGAATCATTCGAGCCGCAGGAATCCGATTCCTCGGCCCGACGATGAAGACGATGTTCCGCCCGGCTTTGGGCCGCCTATTGTTAGGGAGGATGATGATCTTCCTGAGTTTGATTTTTCCCGCGGCCGAAGTTCCCATCGAGCCGCAGCTGAATTGGCTCCGGCCAGCCCATCTGATCACATGAGGGAACTTATCCAGAAGTATGGGCAGGGTGAGAGTACTGTGAAGGAATTGGGGATTCCTGTCCAGCCTTGGAATGATGATGATGATATCCCTGAGTGGAATCCAAATCAAAATACAAAACAGATGCTGAAATCTATGCCATTGCCGCCGCCACCACCGCCGCAAGTCCATGTGTATCAACAGCAACAGAGAAATACCCAGCCTTTTCCTATAAACCAGAACCTGATGCCACCACAGTTTGTTCAGATGCCTCTTCATCCACCCATCCATGCCCAGGTTGGGGGAATGCAGCCTAATAATGCCATGTGGAGTCCTGTGGCTCGCGGAATGCCAGATGGCAGCCTTCGGCCGTGCCAAGTAGGCAGTCAGTTTAGTGGTGGGAGACCGCCGGGCTTCGGGGTGGATCCTAGAATGGTTCAAGGCTTTGGGGGAGGGAGGAGTGGATTGGGTTTCTGGAGACCTGATAATAATAACTCTGGAAGGTAAAGGTTTTTAGCTCTTCTTTAGCAAGAAGAAAGTAGGAAAGTAGAGGATTTGGCTTCTTTGCTACTTTTTGTGCCCTCTTTTGCTTTTGATCTCAAATTGAATTTTATGTAAAATATGTCTGTTCATATGCTTTTGTTGAGTTGGTAATGAATGGATAACCCATTTGCTGATCATTTTGGAACTGACATTCGTATGATTAATAATGTTTGGGTATGTGGTCATTGAAGCAAAAAGTTATTTCCTTTTATTTTTTTTATTGATAGGCTTTATCAAAGGTATGTAAGCTCTTTTTCTCTCTCATGAGTCATAAATTCAGGTTTCGTTTGGGATAATTTTTTTGCTGCTTTCTAAAATAATTTTTTAGTACAAAAATTTTATGAATTAGATTTTTTTTTTTACTAAAAAATCGTTTTAAAAAGCATTAAAAATGCTGTCAAAGCTGTCCCAAACGAAGCCTCATTTGAAAGGTATATAACCTCTTTTTCTCTCTTAAGATTCATAGATTTATTTAAACTATTGAAAAAATTATATAATTTTTAAATAATTATAAGGAGAGTAATATTAAAAAAATCATTATAATAAAATTTCAAATTATTTTTCCCTTATTGGCTTATTTCACTTTTGACATACTTTAGTTTTTGAAGTTTGCTTTTAATGTTAGATTATTGATATTTTTATATTGATATTTTCTGCTTAATTTTTTTATTTGATTTAATAATATTATTCATTTCTTACTTTATCAAAAAATTAAAAGAATTAGAATAATTTTATGACTTTAAGATACTAATTATGTATGGTAAAATATATAATTAGAGTAATTTAAATATTTGAAAGAATTAATACTTACAAATGATTGCAAAAATAGGTTGATTTGTACTTAAACTTATATATCTTCTAGTCGTTATATTGTAGGATTTAAAAAAAAAATATTAGTACGAAAAAGTAAATATATAATTAAGGTTTCATTTGAGACGGTTTTTTTATTGTTTCTTAAAATAACTTTTTTACTCATAAATAAATTTATTTATGTTTCGAGTAATAGTTTATTATTCTTTTTTTTTTTGTTGATATTTAGAAACTCCTCAGAAAAGAAGCATCTCCTCATGGAGATGTTCTCACATACACTCTCTATATCTTTATCCTTCTACTATGCCTATCCAAAATTCAAGTTGATGATCTTCTTAACCATCTTAATGGAGTTAGATTTCAAGTCTTTCACAGTGATAAAGATTGATGTGGCAATTTTTAATGCCCATTAATGAAATTTTGGATCCAATAGGATCCCTTTAGAATTCTCTTCCTTCTACTTATTGTTAGTTCACATGCATAGTTTCTCTAACTCTAAAATGTTCTTTTTAACATCTACATATGGTTATATTGTTGCTTTTGAAAGCAAATTACTTTGGATTTTCTCTTGAAATTTGTTAATTTTTGTCAAACTTCCATGGGTTGTGGTATATTACAATACTTTCGCTGTACAACTTTTGGTATATTACAATACTTAATATTCTGATCATTTGATTTCACCGGTTGAAATATTATTTATTGCATTATGTATGATTTGAGTAAAAATAATGATTTGGGCATTTTGATTCGATTATACCTTTAATACAAGTATTGTGAATGAATACATACATGAGAATGAGTAATAGCTGGTCATTATTACTTTTGCAATATTATATGTGTAACAACAAGAAAGGCGGGTTTATTACTAAGGTTGGTTGAATACTGATTTATACATGTTACATGATGGTAGGTCGATAGATTTTCTTTTAAATATTATGATTTGTGATGATATACTCTACTAATTTATATTATTCATTAATTGAGAGTCATAAATAATAATTACTGTGCCAATGACTAAGAGTGATAACTTTGATTATTAAAAGTCACATGCCTACTAAACTAAGAATACTTACTAGAAAACACCATACAAGCTATTAATTCTTACATGTTTAATATGACTGGTTGAACATGCATATCAGATATTGATATTTACAACTACTGATTCATTATGCCGATTCACTGTTACTGAGCATGTGATTAAGTTACTGATTTGAGACTGATACAAAATAACTGAAAAATTATGTGCACTCCTATACGATTCCTTAATAGTATTGCATCTTTATAGATTTCTAACGATTTTCATAGATACTTCTGCTTTACTAGTTTATATAACTTTCTTACTATTTGGATAATATTAATATGACTGCTTTAAGAATGATGATTTGCAGGTTTACCATTTCGATATGCATATTGTATTGTTTTACAAACCTTATTATTATTGCATGTGTTTCACTATTTCTATACAGATTCTTGATCATATTGATTACTGCTGTTATGAACTAAATGATTTCGTGTATGGCCTGTGAGTTCAATTGTAGGATTCTAGTGACTTGTTGAACTTTTTTAAGTTCAATATATGTGTTTTAATGATTTAATGTTAAATAAGAGATTCTAGAGTGTGATGCTAATCAGATACATGATTCTTCAGATTTTAACTGTTATTTTATCTTTTAATTATTCTTTTGAGCTCAAGAGTGAGCAGACATTGTGTTGTATTTGTATAACTCCTAACATATGTGTATAATTTTAGTTAATAAATACAAATATATATTAGGGTTTTGATCAATAGATTTATTTATATTAATATTTTATTATAAAAAATAATCCTATTTAATCATTATATCATCAAAATTCTAAGGGATGGGCCCTAATTTGTATCAAATAATTATGTATATTATAAGAGGTATATACAAAGAGAAGAGAAGAAGAGTATATTATACTCGAACCGGATCAACCGAATTGATGCATCGAACCGGTTCAGCGGTTTCGGTTCGCCGATTGCGTCGACGAATATTTCGGGGTGGGAGTCGGTGAGGGATAGTAAAATTTTCCGACGAGGATTGAGAAGAAAGGCAAGCTTGCTCATCGAAAGCGGCCAGATATGACGGAAGGGGGAGTGGCGGAAAAGAGGGTGGAAAATGGAAAGAGAAAAAGGGAGAAGAAGACGGCGGCGGAGCTCTCTGCTGCTGGAAATGAACGGATTAGGGCTTCGCACATACTTTTAAAGCACGAGGAATCAAGGAGGAAGAGCTCATGGAGGGATCCTGATGGACGTCTTATCAGCATCACTAGCAGAGTGAAGGCGGCTGAGCAGCTCAGGGAGTTGAGGGAGGAGATCGCCGCCGGCAGGTCCCTGTTTGAGGATGTCGCCGCTCGGCATTCTCATTGCAGCTCCGCCAAACGTGGCGGAGATCTTGGTATGAGTTTGGATATTGATGTTTAGGGAGTGAAGAGTTCATATAGACGCTTAGAATAGTTAATTCCTATTTAATTCATTAACGATTAGATATGATTCTAATTTGTTTTCTTCCTTTGTATATTAATGTTTTTTGTGTGCCTGAGAAAGTTAAGTCAATCGGAAGAATTTATTGACGTTCTTCTCCATACCTTAAAGCTTCTCTATGCTCACACACTGTAAGCCCTCTTTACTCGTAAGTGCAGTGAAATCGATTTATTAAACAATTAGGCATAGTTTGATTTAATGATTGGTCTTTCGTCAGCAACTTCAAAGTTAAATTGTGTTCTTATCGCAGGACAATAAGATTGGTAATTTTTTAGAGACTATGCTTGAAAAGGACATAATTATGAGGTTTACCAGGCAAAAAAAAATAAATGAAAAATTTATTGTGGAAGAGATGTTGATTTTTATGTGGAAGACCCCTAGAGGGCATAGGCCAGTTGAACAACTTCGTTATTTTGTTAAAAAAAATATTACGAAATTGATTCTCCTTTAGGTAGTTAAGGGAGCTTGATGATATTTTTTAGAAGTTAAAAAATGAGGTATAGAGGGCACCAAGGTTAGTCCTCCTTTGTGTCGATTATATACACAATAGAACTATGTGTTGTCAGGGTCAGATAAAGGTGGAAAAACTTGACTCGGGTTCAAGTCAACCTGTTTATATAACGGGTCAGGTTCGAGTTTAGAAACTTAACCCGTTTTAAAAATTGGGTCGGGTTCGGGTTGACCAGAGAACCTAAGCACAACTCGAATTTAATGAAACCATTTGTGTTTGAGTGTTTCAATGTTTATATTACAATGTAAACGTGATATTGTAATGTATATTAGTATTTAGTAAATGTAATGTATGTTTTGCATTATTTTTTATAAATGTAAATATGTAATTTAACAATTAGTGTTAGAATTTTGTAAATGTAATTTGTGTTCATTTATAATTACTCAGATAATCAAATAATTATATATACTTCAGTATTTTTTGCATTTTAATAAAATTACTAAAATAAATTTGAAATAGAAAAATTGCCAAAAATTGAAAAAAAATCTGGTTAGCGGGTCATTTCGGGTTGACCCAAACCAGAACCAGGTAGGGTTTGAGTTTGGATTTCTGATCCGTTTCCATAATCAGGTTGGGTCAGCTGGTAGCGGATCAAGTTTGGGTTGAACCCGAAGACTCATTTTGACACCCCTAGGGTCAGATGCATCTCATAATAGCATGGATAGTAGTGTTTCTTGTAGCATTGGGACAAATTGCGTTGTATTGCTTATTGAAATCTTGAACCTTGCTTTTTCTTTAGGTGGTGGGCAATGTTGCCAAGGATGCTATCGAAGCCATTATATATAAGAGTGAAAGAGATATATATATATATATATATATATGGAAATCTCGATGATAATATGGTTGTGGATTAGTGATAGACGTCGTTTAATCTTCAATAGTGTTCTAGAATTTTGAGGACTTGAAGTGCACAAGTTTAGTGTTCATTAGTTAATGTTGGATGGAGAATTTCTTCATGCTTTTTTTCAATCATCTAAAAAATCTTGCAAAATGAGCCCTAGTTATAGACTTAATGAGGGGTATTTAATTTTTATAAGGAATATTTTTCTTGTAATATTAAACATCTTATTCTCAAGAGCAAATTATGATCAAATTTTGATGTTTTTGGGTGATTGTTGTCCCAGTATGGCCTCCCAAACTTTAGCTAACATTAGTAGCTATTTGTGATATCTCAAAATATATAACATAGTAGGAGATGATCTTATGAGCTTATTGTTTGTGACAAATTTAAGTTTTTACAAGCTAATTAGTTGAGCAATTTTAAAAAGATTTGCCTTCTCTTGAATGGATTCGATGAAAATCGGTGATAATATCCCTTCATTTTTATGTGGATCAACTCCCTTCTCTAAGAGTAATGTTTTGAGATAAATAATTCAACTCATTGTTTAAAATTATGCAATTTGAGGCTCTCATTGAGGCCCTCCTCAGGATGAGGTACATGTAAAATGCCTTATGGCCTCAATTCTCATAGTGGAAGAAAGAGGCATACTCCTCAATTGTTTGTGGCGCGCCTTGAGGTGCATGTAATGAGGCTTATCCCTTTTGGGGGATGATGAAGATTCCTTGGCTTTTTGTGATGTGCGATTGGATAATAAATGGTTTATAGAGGATGAAACATGAAGCTTTACGATTGCAATTATAAGAGGAATATCTCGATTATTCTTTTGATGAAGGAACAAGAACAACAAAAGTTGCAAGAAAATAATGTTAGCATAAAACTTTATGTAATAGAATTTTTAAAAGGTGAATATAGTCATTGTTTTAAATAATATTCTTATTGGATTTAATTGATTTGAAAGAGGAAGATGATTGAGATTGAAAATGAAGAAGAAGATTGAGAGGATGTTTATACAAAATGATGGAGGCAATAAATTATTCAACTATAATATTGATTTTAATGAAGATTTTTCAAGCGATGGAAATGGGAGAAAATTTTGAATTTGGAGCTCTAAATCTTAATTATTCTATTTTAGGACATATTATACTTGTTTATTTTAAACTTCTTGCTTATTATGGAGTGATTGTATGGCTTTTTATGATGCTACTTTGATACTTGTATTACTCTCAAATATTTTATTGGGAGAAAATTGAGCTGAAGTTCTTATGATGTTACTTATCATTGAGACCTAAGGATAATTACTCTTAAATGTTTTATTTTTCATATTTTTAATTAACTTAATGTTTGATTTTGAAGCTTATGCCTTAAAACACCTTTAAACTTACTCCATTGCATCACAAAAGGAATATGCCTGAATGCCTGATTGCATAATTTAAATCTTAATTTAATAGGTAGCAAGCTCACACGAGTGTGCTCAATGATTGTTGACATACCACTTGTGATTAGATTAATCAAGAGGGGTTGACGGATCGAATCTCAATAATCCTAGGGACAACAAAAACATTGACAGTCATCCCAACAAGTTCTACCACCCTCGTTCATGATTTGATCATATAGAGGAAGGGGTGGTTACTAGTGATGGCTAAGTCAGGCTAGTTTGACTCGTTCTGATTGTTTAAACTCCAGTTTGATTGGTTTGCATGTCCATGGATTCAATGTAGTACTCTAAATCTTTCTTGGCTATTGGCACACTATTATGAACCTGTCTAATCATTGATTTAGCTTAATCAAGTAAAATTAGCCTATGATTTTTTCCTTTAGAATTGCCTTGATATGTATGTTTGCATTGAAATTTCTACTTGATCATATATGTTTTTAAGTTCTCAACAATTGCCCTATATTTTTTTAAAGTTTTCGTTAATGAGTTCAAAACGACCCTTGCATTGTAGATACTATTTTTCTCCATATTTATAAGGAGATTATTTAGAAAATAAACAACTTAGGATTAATATAACAAAGATAATACATAAAATATGTAATTTTAGTAATATGATTTTATGAATTATCAGTCAATGTTACTTGAAGATCAAGTGACATGTAGATGTAATAGGTTTAAACCTCCTAGTTTTGTTTTGAAAAAGAATGAAGATATGATTACAAATATAACTTTCAATTAAGAATGAGTAGCTAAAATAGAGAAACATCTCACTAATACTATGAAATAGGTGATTACTATGGAGACTTAAAAAACAAATTTATAAAAAAGCAGTTGGGTTACCTATGTTTGATTTTAAGCGGTGGGCGCTAAAAAGTCATTGAAAGACAAGTGGACCATAATAGAAATGAAAATCTTAAGATCTGTTTATAATAATTATAAGAATGATGGATTGAGAAATGATTTTATTTGAAGGATAATGGGAGAAATTTATATAAAATAGGGTAGTAGAAGTAAAGATAGGCAGTTTTGATGGGTAGAGGAGGCTTGAATAGGGTAGGTAGATAATATCAATGCCAAAAGATTAGAAAGAAAAACCGAGTAAATTGGATGTTTGAATGTAATTTGGATAGAATTTGTGCTAAGATATTTGTACAAAATAGGGTTTTCATCTATTGTAACACTCAATTAGGACAAATAAAGTATGAATATTCTTACAACAAACTCCAAATAGTTGTGATAAGATTGACGATGATGATGACCTATGAAGCATGAACACTTTAAAATTCCCTTTATGTTTTTGTGGGCATTAACGTGCCTCCGACGTAAGGCTTAGTATTGGAAGCATTTCAAGTTAAAATTAGAGTTAGAAACAATGCTAGACATGACCCATTGGGATAACATGCACAGACAGATAAAGGGGCATACGTTAAGGCTTATATTAGGCTTAATGGTCATGTTTACTTGACTTTTACTTGATTATAACTTGTAAACTCTCAGCTCTTGTTTTGATAAGTTTTTTGCTTAGAGTTTGATAACTCGCCTTTTCAACCCTAGTGCTCTCATTGCTAAGTTATTGTTCTTAGCTCCTATCATTTGTTACGTGTTTGCAAATCATAATCACTCTCATAAGCACATTGATTAAGAGTTCAGTGTACAAAACCCTATTGTGTTTCTTGTCTGGTTCTTGCTCGCAAGCGTTTTATCCCCGACTCTTTTCTATTCAACATTCACAAATTGCAGCCCTAGCTTGGGTTTCATTCGATGTTCACAACAACCCATCTCTTGCCCACTCAAGTGTTGAGCCTTCGCACACTGCTCTTCCCATCTAGCTTGGTGAGCATGGATTTCTTTCCTTTCTTTGTTGAGGGTCAAGTCTTTCCATCTCTCCTTTACTTAGATGTGATGGCTTTAACTTTTATCCAATAACCATAACTTCAAATTTATATTTCTTGATTTATTTTACTCTTTTTTTGTCAAAGTAAAAATTATTTTATCTTTAAGTTTTCATTATGATATTTTATACTTTCTCTTAAAAAATGATGTTACTTTTTAAAGAAGGTTTTAAGATTTTATTCATTGATAATCTACTCATCTTAGGTTTATTTCATCTTGTAATAAAAGATTGATTTTTGAATTAGTTATTATTCAGTGGTAATAATCCCATAGATGATGATAATAAGACCTTATGGAAGTCTATTACCAAATGTGACAAAGTAGGAACAATAGTGGCAAGAGGAAGTGTTGAATTAAATGTCAATTTTTTTGGGAAAATGATATAAATAGGCCGGTCCAGTCAGCCCAACCCTTGGGCCAGCCCACTTATTATAGCAAGCTCAAGCCTGCTGTCGCTGCCGACCTCAAACTTCCCCTTATTGGGGAGGGGTTCACTTCCTAAAGGATTCTGAAGAAGGGCTATTTAGTCCTTTTGCATTATTTTGTTATTTGCTTCAAGTAGAAGTTTATATTAGGGTTAGGTCATCTTTTTGGTGGCTGATTTTTGTTTTGGTGCTTGGCATTCTTGTGCTCTAGCGGCGTCTAGAGAATTAGGAGAGATAAATCCTCCTCTCAAATAAATGATTAATTGTATCTTGGTATTTTCCTATTACTTTCATCCAATAATACAAAAATATCTACTGTTTTCTGATTTTTCTTGGAGTTTGGTGGAATTTTCTCGTTGATTTTCCAAGATTGACATGTAACGCTTGAAATCTATAAGTTTTTCCTATCAGAAAAGTACAATTGAACATATTGTAGAGAGTTCACTTAGACAATCTGGAGGAGGCATTTGATCATTGCCCTAGAATCTATACAACTTGAAGAATTATAACAATAATATGCAGAGGATGAGCAAATGAATAAAAATGATGCATTTAAGAAGATTCTCCTTCTAGGCAAATCGGCTCAAACTAATTTTCTATCCAATAACCAAGTGGACATTTATTTAGATTGGAGGGTTATAATCTAAAGATATGAATATATATTGACCTAAGACAATTATTGGAAGAGGATTTACTCGTAAGCTGGATGTCAATTGTATGAAGAAATAGCTTTCATGTTATACTTTGCCACCCTTCCATTTAATTTAGCCAGAAATTCATTTTATTTTATTACGTTTTCTTATGCACCCAGTAACACTCAAGGGTATATTCCCCTTAAAATATAATCTTTTGAGGATAACACAACTTTAAAAGGAAAGAGCTAATGAAAGAATGCTTGAGTAGCTGATATATAAGATTTTAAGGATAGATATGAGCCTTTTATCCACCTTGTGTATGAAAAGTAAGTTTTTTTTATTGAGAAGATGAAAGTGATAATATATTAACATATATAAAGAAAATATAAATAATGAAGAGTTCATATTTTATAAGATCGTGCTTGAATTATTTTGCAAAAATGGAACAAAAGCAACACTCCCTTTCATTGCTTAGGCCATTCCATTAATTCGAGGTTTAGTTAATCTTATGTTATTACTTTTTATTTATTAATAGTTATAGTTTTAATTATAAGATACATGTTTTCTTAGGTATTATAGACATGCCTGGCTAAGTGAAGCTCAAAGTCATGTTTCTTCACATGAATACATAAATATATCAAATGAGTGAAAGAAATATTTGATAAAGCTTTTCCCAAATATTGAAGAGAGAGCAATGACAAATTTGGAGTTTTCCGACTTCTTTGGACTTTGTGATACTTTTTCCAATCAAGACTTTATAGCTTAGATAGGCACTATGGACGAAAATGCTTGTTAGATGATTTATGATGTTAATTCTTACAAATGTAAGATTTGGCTTCTGAATTATTAGGATAATCATGCTTCTTATCTTGTTGCAAAAGAAATTTGAGCTCATATTCTTTTATTAATTCACTCAAGAAGAATAAGATCACTTTTCAATACGGTGAAGATTTGGTATATGTGCTCGTCATTCTTCGTCTTTTATCTAGGAGGAGCTTGGAATATGCTCAAGAAGATACTAAGTTATGGGATATTAGTGTGAACATGATTTTATAAATCATATCCAATGAGTTGATCCGACCGTTTTAATTGTGAAATGTGAAATGATCCTTTGCTCAGTTTGATCTAGTCAAAAAATTGCTTCTGCATAAATTGGCTAGAACCGATTGAAGTTGGTAGTTGAATTGGAGAACAAGTGAACCATTTCAATTTTTGATGAACCGGTTGGTTGTAATATAGATCAATTTTTAGCATATTGATTTTGATCAATTGGTTATAATAAATGGTTTAGAGGTTTCAACAAGTTTGACCCCTCTCCAATTATGTTTTTTATGCTGTTAAGTTGAATATTGTTATTATTTTAATTTGACTATCTTATAAATAATCAAAATATCATATTTCAAAATTTTGATTTAGAATCATATTCAAAATATTCAATGATGAAGTGCTTAATTAGAATATTATATATTAGTTTAATGAAAATATTATTGTATCATCATTTACATTATTTAAGTAATAATAAAATGATTTTAATATTTATTATACCATCTAATTTAATCCCAGTTCAACATTTGAACCTTGAATTTCTTCTTTATTCATTTTTTAATGTTTTCAGAATCTCAGATGTGAATATATTAAATACAATGGTTGTGGGTTGCTTGAAGTTGCTAATCTTTATCTTGATGAGCATTTTTGAGAAACTATATTTTTTGTTGATGAAGGTGAAAGTGCTATTCAAGAGGACATGAGGGCTAGTGATGATGATGATCATAACATTGAGTGTGTTTGCTCCTATGAATTATCATTGATATACTCATATTTTATTTGATTATTTTGAAGAGGGCATTAGTGATACTCTTCTTAGAAATATTTGACATTTGTAGACATTGCTGATATTGGCAGAATATATGACTAATTAATGGATGTTAATGTTGACCTGTTATTGTGAAAATTATTGCACATGATACAAAGTTGAGATTTAATAATAATTAATAATATTAATTATTTTTTGTTATCTTGATCTTTTTATGCCGACCTCACATAGTGGGATAAAGGCTTGTTGTTGTTATTGTATTGAGTTTTTTATGGAAAGTATATGCTATTATTCTTCATTGTGTGATATATTTAACATAAATTATTAGTATCAGATGTTTTAATTTAAAGGGATTATTGATGGATTCGTTTGCTAGAAATTCTGAATTCTTTCCGACAGACAAATCTGGCGGTAATGTCAAAATATCTTCATTCATGACATCTTCCCCTTACTCCCTATTCACAGGAAAACAAACTCTGTGCTCTCTTTTGCCTGACTAGATGATCAGCCATGGTTTATATAATACCATTTTCATGCGTTGGTGGCTATCTTCTTTCAGTGGTAGCGCTAATGATAGTGTGCATGCATTTGCACTGAATAATTGAATTGGTTCAAATGATGCAATTTTTATACTAATTTGGAATATTCGACTCTAAAATTTATACTGAACGAGTCCTTATTTTCTCTTGGGAGAAGAAAACCTCTAGGTGCTGGATATGTAAAATTTAGATCTTAGTGCTGACAATCCAAGGAACCTGATAGGAAGTGGATGTAATTTCAACAAAACCAGAGAACGACACAAAAAATTTAGGAAGAAGAACACACAAGAACTTTTTTTTTATTGAAAGAACTAAGAAGAAAAATACAAGATATAATTGGAGAGGAAGATCCGGCTCTCTCAATTCTCTAACCTCCGGTTAGAGCCCAAGCTCCCTAAGAACAATCTAATTTCAGCAAACTCCAAACACAATTTGAAATCATCCTATAATTAGACTTAAATATGCTCCCATAATTCTCTCCCAAATCAGTCCCTTTTCCTTATATAAATCCCTCTCAGATTTGAATTCAAATTATATTTATTTTTATAATTAATTCCCTATCAATTTTAATTAAAACTTTCCTAAACAATCCCCCTTAATTTTTCCTTTTCTTAGATTTTGAATTCAAATTAGAACTCTTGCCCTAAATAATTTCCTCCCAAAGATAATTAAAAATTTTCCTAAATAATTCTCCTTTGATTAAGAACCTTTCTAAATAGTTCCCTCTTAATTAGAAAACTTCCTAATTCCCTCCCAGTCAAATCGGCTTATCTATCAGAACCGTACCCCTTTTCTCGTTATGTGCTCATTATTGTAAGATATCCAGATATGTTTGTGTCAGGAAGGGAAGATAATTGATAAAAGTTCGAAGATGAATGCTCACAAGTAGACGAGATTTAACATAAACCGAAAAACTAAACCAAGTACCAATTTTAAAGCATTTATTTATTTGTAGTTCTGTGTAAATATCTTCTATTTCGAGCATGTCTTCTAATTTTGATATCAATCGTCTCATTTTGGCACAATTTTTCATCTTTAGCATCTCTCTTTCTACTCTTCCCTGCCTCTTCTCTGCCTGGTGAATCAGGTGGAATCAGCAAAGCTGGTGATGGTCAACATAAATTGTATCATTGGTGCTAGTCCACAGTTCTTAGGCTTCGTTTAAGATGACTTTCTTACTGCTTCTTATAGTAACTTTCTAGTATTTTTTATTTTTTTTTATTTTTTTTAACTAGAAATCAGCTTTAAGAAGCAATAAAAAAGCCGTCCCAAACGAAGTCTTAGTTAATGGACTTTTCATAATTCAAGCTGTAGCATCTCTGTCTCTCTCTTTCTCTCACACACACACCACACACAGAGCGTACATCAACATAAACCCTGATACTTTCAGATGTTTGATCTTCTCTGGAACAATCGAGGGTCGAAACTCGAAAGTGACTGGTCTAAGCATCACCCGTTCACGAGACCAATTTATCCTCTTCGTTTTCTAACATTTCTTCACACTTTCTCCCAACTTATGTAATTAAATTAAGGCTTCGTTTGGGACGGTTTTTTTCTTACTTCTTAAAACAACTTTTTAGTACAAATATTAAAATTTTTGTACAAAAAAGCTGCTTTAAGAAGTCATAAAAAAATCGTCCCAAACGAAGCCTAAGATCGATATGCTCCTGTCTCAATAACCAACTTACACTAGTTAATGATAATGATTATGAACTTACCCAAAATAATACATCTTGTTTTCTCTTGCCATCATCATTTACAAGTTATTATTGTCCTTTTGATGCTACAGGTCAATTTGGGAAAGGTCAAATGCAGAAGCCTTTTGAACAAGCTGCCTTTGCTCTCAGAGTTGGTGAGCTCAGTGACATTGTGGACACTGACAGTGGCGTCCATATCATCTTGAGAACTGGCTAACTTATCCATGGACTAATATTTTTATGAATACTGTTGTCATCATAGCCTTTTTAGTTTTATCCATAAACATAATTGCCTGAACACTGGCGATTGTTACTTATACTGCTGTGGTCACCCTGTAGTTTGTAGACATAAAAGTTGCATATGAGCATTTAGATTCAGCAACTGGTAACTTTTATTGTTTGTTGGAAGGCTTGTTTCTGAGAGCTGAGTTTCATTTTATTAGTTTTTTTTTTTACTGATTTGCTTTCCTTTAAAACATCCAAAATATTTTTTTTAATCTATTTACTTAGGATATGTCTCAATGTTGTTAGATTTAGGTTTCGTTTGGGACGACTTTTTTTCTGATTCTTGAAGCAACTTTCAAGTACAAAAATTTTAATTTTTATGCTAAAAAGTTACTTCACGAAGCAGTAAAAAAGCCGTCCCAAACGAAGCCTTAGACTTCGGTTGGGACGGCTGCAGCTTTTTATACAAGTTGTAAAGCTGTTGTGGAGAAAACAGTTTTTTAGTAAAAAAATTTATTGAAAGTAGTGAAAAATAGTGACCAAACCAAATAATAAGAAAGCCGATCCAAATGAAACATTTTGAGATTAATGCAATTTAAATTATGATTGATTCTTCATGTACTTATTATTCTCAAAATAAATTTAATGATTTTGTGATTCATCCTTTATATATATATATATATAACATATTTTAAAGATATTATTAATAAAAGTGATCTCAATGGACCCTGGTGGTTTGCATTACCATTTTTTGACCAAGTGATTTTTTTATATACTTCAATAGCTTTTTTAATTGCAAATCCCTGATTAACAACCCAATAATAATTTAGTTGTAAATTGGTGATTAAATAATAAATTTGAGACTAATTAGGGTTATTAATTAGGTTTCATTAGTATTAAAGCTTAGCTTGTATTGTTTTAGTTGGGTTATTGATGCAAATGAAAGATTGCAAATTTAAAAAATAGAGACTTCCTTTATTAACATTGCTAAACAAAGACTCTATGATTGCGGATTAAAAGTAGACTTGTCTTCCTTATACTGAAATACTAAACACGATACAACAACACCTTAACTTTCAATAAGATAGGACAACTTATAATTTGTAATAGTTTGAGAAGAAAGATACAATGGAAGGGTTACCATGGAGAGAAGAAAGAGATTAGAAGTCTAAGACAAAGTTTTAGAAGAGAGGAGGTAGAAGACAATAGCTTGCAAGCTATTTCAAACACACATGTTTCACTTTCCAAAAATCATCACATTTTGACTCTCTAAACAGTAGCAAAACAACCCCCTTAAATAGGGAAAAGGAGCTCAAAAGACACCCAAAGCAGCCGCCCCATTCAGCCAACCAGAGCAGAGGAAAAAATCCAAGAGAAAAGACACGACAGTACCACAAATCGAACAGCTTGAATCAGAATAGCCAGGAGCCGAACAGACACCAAGAAAGGAGCTCGACAACACATGAACCCAGCATTTAATGCTAAAAAATAGTCTCAAATCAGCCATAATCCTCCAAACGCAAAGCAACCAAGCATGAATGGGCCAAGCCCAATAGAAGACAAAACAACCCACAAATAAATACCCAATAAGTGGAAAAAATTAAATTTTTGTCTACATCAATTCTCCTTTAGTGGATAAATCTCATCTCCTGATGAGATGGCTTTAGAACCTCCATCACGCGCAGATGGATACATATCCAATTCCCGTATCAAAGCAGCGTACTTCATTTCGATCATCTCCTTTTCTCGATTAAACTCGGCTAGAAGTAAATGCTTTTTACTCTCATATTTTTTCTGCATAAAAGCACCTTTTATCTTGAATTTTGTAAAGCTTTCTAGAGTGAATCGGTTGAACATCCTTGAGTTGGAACCCAATTCGTGATGAAAAATCTTTTTCTTGAATCCAAGGCATTTGACTTTCATCAACAATATATTCTATATCATTTTGACTTTCCATTTTTTGATATTAAAAAAGACACACGATAACCTAGATGCTATGATACCAAATTGATGCATTCAAAAAATTACAAAACTAAGTTTGCAAACGAAATTGACTTCCTTACCACACACATTACAAACTTAAAAAAGTAACTATAGAATATAAAAAACACACCACTTCAAACTCACAATAAACATGACATGACAATATCTTACAATTTAAAATAAAAGGGACACAACACCTAAAATAACAACCTACAAATACAACTCAATGACACCTTACAATTTTTTGATGATTGAGAAGAAAGATACAATGGAAGGGTACTTGTGAAGAGAAGAAGTAGATTAAAAGTTCAAGACGAAGTATAAGAGAGAGGGAGGTAGACCACAATAGCTCGCAAGCTATTACAAAATCAACAGGTTTTCTTCTCAAATTTTTTTCATTTTTCCATTCTCTAAATAGCAGCAAAATAGCCCTCTTAAATAGGGAAAAGGAGCTCAAAAGACACCCAAAACAGCCACCCCATTCATCCAACTAGAATAGAGGAAAAAATCCAAGAGAATGGCACGACAGCACCACATCCAATCAGAACAGCCAGAAGCTGAACAAAAACCAAGAAAGGAGCTCGGCAACACATGAACCCAGCATTCAATGCTAAAAAAGACAGCCCTCAATCAGCCATAATCCTCCAAACACAAAGCAACCAAGCATAAATGGGTCAAACCCAATAGGAGACAAAACAACTCACAAAAAAATACCCAATAAGAGAAAAAAAATAAAAATTTTGCCTACATTAGTTATCAATTAAAGGAGATGATAGTTTGGTGAATGTTATGGCTGATATCTATATTGTGGCAAAAGTTATGATTTGATTAAAAATCATTATGATATTAATAGAGAAATTATTATGTGCGGAGTTAAGATTGGAAGAACTGTTTGGACTGTGAGGGTACACGATGTGTGTATCACACAATGTGTATACTGATTTGATACATACTATGTACAAATGTGTACACAGTGTATAAACTCACATGTTCGAACTGTTCTTCCCGTTTGGACTTCACTAAGAATAATTTCTCGATATTGATATGATATATATGATTGAATAATAAGAGGGTATTCATATATTATTATAGTTTTAAGTAATATTAATTAATAAAAAATAAATGATTTGTTAGACAAAAAAGCTATTGTTTATAAAAAATATGTTCATGGAAGCTATCAAAACCCTGAAGCAAGAAATTTGGTTTTCAACTTCCATAAAAATGATTTTTTATTTTCAGAGAAATTCGCCAAACCTACTAAAATTGATTTGGACATTTAAGCTAAAGAATGTAATAGAAATATATAGTAATTACAAACTAATACATTAAATTAATTAATTAGGAAGATTAGGATAGATTTATGCTAACTTTTGATTAGTATTACGGTAATAAGGTATTCTAATTGATTATATAATAATAATTTGATTAAATAATTATTCTAATTGATTATATAATAATAATTAGATTAAATAATTATATAATGATTAATGATCATGATGTTAAAACAATGGAATTAATTATGACAATTAATTATTCAATGATTATTATAATAATTAGACAATCAGAATAATCATACATTAATTAAATAAAGATCAAGTGTGCTAATAATTAGCTAATAATTAGTTAATATATTAAATTTTTCTCTAGCTTATGATTTTTATAATTGGTAACACCTTATTTAAGAAAAAAAAATGAGTTATAAGAATGAATATAGATTATTTTTTAATAAGAAAAATAGATAATTAAGATTGCAAAGATTGTAAAGATATTTTAAGTGAAAGTTATATACCCATCATCACTTATTAGTTTTGGACTTTAAGATGAATTGACAGAATATGAAAAATAAAATAAAATATTGACCTAAGATTAGGTAGGGGCATTTAAATAACACAAATAAAAATATTTTTGAAAATAAAATTTAATATCATGAGATTCTAAGTGCTTATGACACAATGGAGAAAAAAAATCATGTAGCCGATCTCACGTAGTGACATAAATGCTTAATGTTATTGTAATAATTTTAATGCTAGCTCTTACTTTGTCCTTGGATAGTGGAAGAGGTGGAAGGATGTCATTGGGGATGATATCAATATGTGGATCTTATAGTTCACTAATAATGACGATAATCCAACTAGAAGTTTAAGCCATCACAAAGATGTTGTTAGCCTCGAACCTAAATCTAAGACAGACTTATTATACCACTAGGTTATGACCCTCGACTTAAGTCTAATATAGACTAATGTGATGAGACTTGCAATTGAAAATCTCACAAATGGCTAAGAAAGCCTAATGCATAGTCTTACATTTATGTTTAGAAAGTATATTCATCTAAACCCATTTAATCGTGCTTAAATCATGGTATCATGTTTGTATGCAAAAGTATGTAATACCGATTTGAAAAATAAACGAAAGAGTCTTACAACCTTGCTACTAGACTAAATTTAGCCCAATTATGAATGTGTAAGATATGGAACTCAAGCAAATTTTGATACATTTATGTTAGTCCTTGTGAGGAACCAAAGAACTAAGTTAGGGCAGGTTGACACGTCATTTGAAGAAGGTCTTCGCTAAATATTATGAGAATGAGGCTTGATTAGACTATGACTTGTGTGTTTTGACGATAAGTGCTCAACATTCTAAGGTCGATGATCTCAAGGTGAGAACATCGATCTTGAGGCCGCCTTGACTTCAAGAAAAATAAAATTGATCTAATTATATTCAAATTATTGATCAAAATGAAAGAAAGTAAATCCTTAATCATGTAAGTATAATCATTGCTTGTGCAATAATCAGATCAAGCTATACAATTTAATTATATTTTTATGATTATATATATAATTTTTTAATAAATTTTGATTTTAAGAAAGTTTGTGTTTTAAATCTATTTATCAAAATTCCAACCATCCAAAATAAGAATAAAAATTGTGTAAGGATATCCTAATGTAATTACATCAAAGAGAGCTAAAAAGGTTAGATTTGCGCTAAAATTAGTATAATTTATGATATTATTTATATAAACATTAATTTTAACATAAATTTAAAGACATTCAAACTCTTATTATATAGATTATATCAAGATATTATTGCTTAATTATTTTGCCCAAAATAATTTGGATGGCTAATTTATTAAGCCCTTTGTGATAATAGGAAAAAATTCAAAATCTAATAGATTAATAATGCTTAATAGGGATGAAAATTGGACTCAATAATTAGAGTGATTTATCTTAAAAGAAAAAATTAAGCATCTTTTTTGTATTATAATTGCACTTTCTAATCACTGATGATCATTAATTAAGTCCGATTAAAGATTTATTTGGGATAACTTTCTTCCTGTTTTCTAAAGTAAATTTTTAGTATTAAAATTTATTGAATTAAAAATTTTTCTACTAAGAAGCTGCTCATGATATGGGACACATTAAAATTTTTTATATTAATTAATAATTTAAATAATATATAAATAATAATAAAACTTAAATATTTGATATATAAATATGATAATTTTGAGTGTAAATACCATATAATAATTAAATCCGCCTTTCATGCCCAGAATTATCCGTTGCCCTAAAATCCTCTCTTTCTCGCCTCTGTCTCTCTTTTTCCGCTTTCTTTCTCGCCTCCCAGCTCTCCTCTTTGTTCACTGAATCATGGGGAACTAGTTAGGGCCTCCAAACAGGCGATTTGATTCGTCCCATCTCTGCTTTCTAGTGTCGTGCAGCGTTGCAGGTTCATCACTGCGATTTCCGCGAGGTTTTCCCCATCTTTTAGGGTTTGACATCGATCAGATCGTCGCGATGGCGGGTCCGACGCAGTCGAAGAGGGTTTCTTGGGCCCCTGGCGTGAACCTGTGTCAGGTAAAACGATTCATGCAACCAGTCCGGTCCATGTGGCGTTTTTTGCTCTTTTAAGTGCGAATTTGTAATTCTTTTCGACGCCTTGCTTTCTATCTACCAAACCTGCCCCCTTCGATGGTACACCATGAGTTGATGCATATTCGTCTCTTCACTCATACGTTTTCCATTTCCTTTGCATTTTGGTCGTCATTTCTTGTTTGGTCTCCGTTCTGATCTGCTTTCACAATCTTATCATACCCTCGTAATCCACTGCATCCATTTTCCTATCAAGGGATTACTTGATTTTGATTTTCGGTTCAGGTTTCGACCTTTCAACTTCCCATTTCATGTTCGAGCATGGATTGAAGCTTTTTTTTTTTCTCCTGAAATGTTTGTTTTGCTCTTATAGAGCGAAAACATTTTGCCTCATTGGATCATGCATGCCCAGTTTTTACTGATACTGATATAATAGAACCAATTTTTATTTCATCATTAATTGAAGAAGCTTTCAGCAAGATGATAAACAAACCGTGGGATCCTTGCAATTAACTAACTCTTGCAGTGGCATTCCCAGATCACAATTTACATTAAAAAGCAATTTTTTTTAGAAATTGGAAAATATATACTATTTATTCCGAGTAATATCTATCTGAAATTGGTTTTAATGAAAGAGAAGATTTTCCGTCTGGATAATGGAGAACCTTGCAGCTGAACATATGAGCAAATTGGCGATATGTAATACAAGATATGCAAATTACCAAACTGATGATTGTGAAATATGAGAAATCTATCAAAGTAACATTCCCTTTAGATTTGCTTCAGACTTTTGGGAATAATATGTTGAAGTTGGAATGATATCGATTTTTAGGTGTAACTTGACAATTGAAAAACTGAAATATATATGAAAAATACTGTTTAAACTGTGATTAATGTAAATTAACACTTGAAAAAGTTATAAATTGATTTATAAATCATGTTGTAATTATAAGTGACAAATACATGAATTACACGTGAAACAGGTTTATCCAGGATCTGAAGACCTCAAGTTGCCTTTGACCATTACTAAAATTTAAAGCACTTGAAGTTGTTTACAATCTTTTCTTCCGCTCCAGTTTTAGCTTCAACAAATCAGATCAAACAAAATGGAATTAGCTTACAAGTAATAAAATCTGAAACATGCAAGATAAGCGTAGGAAAAGTTTTATTCTTATCGCAGTCAATAAAATTGCAACAATAACAAGTGCAGAGGGTTTTATAACCTGGATCAAAGTTTCTGAAATAATAGCTATTTTCACTGTGAAGCAACATTTGATGCATCCATCTGGAAATTTAACTGTTCTTTTTTCCTATAACATTACACTTTGGCTAATCAACGTACAGTTGAATTCTTAAAGAAAGAACTTAATGAAAATGCGAAAAGGTTCAAGTCTAAATTTGAAATCTTGAATAAAGAAGTTAATGATCCAAGAATATATTTTGAGCTTAAGGTTAGGTGAAAAAGCTTCAACATCTAATCATATAATAAGTGCTTGCCCTCCTTAAATTGTTCACTTCCCAAGTGCATACTCTGAAATGAAGAATTTATCATGGTGCATTTAATACTTTTTGATCATATCTAAAAGTGATGCCATTAATAATAATTTACATGATCACTATAATATACAGTATACCTCAACATTGTCTTTGTTAGGTCCCAAGTCCTGGGTGAGAAACGTGGAGAGTTGCGTTAGTAGTCGACAGCCAGCGTAAAACTTGTCGAATAATCATGACTTGAATCCTTTAACTATGATATACCTCACTTATATGATTAAGAATAAAGAGGAACATGTAGAATTTGATTCTAACAGGAATGAAGCAGCAATTTCTAATGATTAATTTTTTATTAATGGGTTCTACACCATGTATTATGAACCACTTAAACAGAAAACATCAATATTTGTTATATATTGTGCTCCTGCATGATAAGAAGATATAAGGACAATATGATATTGATATTTAATACAGTAAATATTGAGAAAAACATGAGAAGGAAAACGCTTGGAAAATCTAAGATGTGACGCACATAGTAATTCCCACACTGTTATGTTGGTAATAAGCTTGCATCCATGCATGCATATTATGCCGGCATTTAGGAATGCGTTTATATGTATGAGGATATTTTTCTTTGTGTATAAATATTTAGGTATATAGAAAACCTTTTCAGCAGAGATGTTTCACGTTAGGTAGAGTGTTCTCTTTAGAATTGCTATACAAAGCCTAATTCATATCATCATCAACTGATTGCAATTTTCTACACATAATTCATAGAAGTCATGCTAATCGCTTCAAAGCAAAACATTCAAACAAATAATAACTGAGCAATGGGGTGCCTTGCAATTTTTAAAAACATACTTCATAAAAACCAAGTTAATCACTTAAAGCCAAACATTTAAACAAATAGTAACCAAGCAATGTAAACCGCAAGGAAGAATCGCTAACTATTCAATGGAGTGACTTGGGCTGCGTCTTACCATATCGCACTGTATCTGGTTCAAGAGCTTATTTTGTGGACCATGTCCCACTGTTATATCTGCTATCTGCTGCGTTTCCTTGCAGACTTGAATCTGATGTGTTTCAGATATGGATGCTTTGGCCGTAAGATTTTTTTGCGTTTCCTACTTTTTAAGCACACTTGTTATATTAAAGGTTAAAATGCCAATATTTTCATGTTTTAACATTTGATTAGCGGTTTCTAAGCCCTTCATATATTTTGAAATGCTTAAAGGAGAAAGCTTTGGCTCCTGTGATTAATTCATGAAAACATGGTAGGATTTTCATATTCATTCTGCTTTTGATGGCCAACCCGAGCCAATTCAATGCTGCATATTTTAGTTTAAGGGACTTAAATGGCATATAGATGTCTAGATACAACTGTGGTCTGGATAAACTTATATTTTTTGTCCTTTCAAAACTTCTTTTCTACGGTGTTGAATGGAAAAAAGGGAAACATTTCAGTGTCGTTGTGTTTGGTTTTTCATTAAGTTGTAAGTTGCTATTGATGTTGGGGATAAGAACCATAAAACGTGGTCCTTGTTTCTGCTGAACTAATATTTTTATGAATCATACATAGATAATTAAATTATGCTGGCCAACTTTTCTTCTGACATGTTCCACACCATAAGAGGCAAGCAATGTCATAATGTCATGTTTTAGCTTGGTCATGTATATGTGTTCAGCTTATTTGATAAAATTCTTTTAAATTGCAGTTGAAAGTGCTATAAGGGTTGCATTAGTAAAAAAAAAGTTATGATAATTATGAGTTGACAGAAATATAAACTTTGATATGGTATAAATTTTATTAATTATAATACAATATCCCTATCTTATTTAGTTTATAGTTTAATTAATTAATAAGATAGGAAAAGCTAACATCTGTAAAGTTTTTTTTGGAAGCTACCCAAAATATTGCAATGAAAGAAAGCTGTTTTAAAGCTTTTATACAATTGAGCTTTTTCTTATAGTTGCTACACTACATTACTTAAAACTGTATGTGCTGTTCCAGAAAGCAGCAGCAGGAAAAAGCTATAAAAAATGAAGCCTTAAGGCCAGCTTGATATATAAATGTAAAAAATGGAATGCTTCAAATGAATCAGCATTAGGTCTTTATGCATGGTTCATGGAATTCCTTGTGCTCTTTATGACTTGAGCCTGCATTCATTTTGACTTTGGCTAGTAATATTTACTGCTAACTTGAGATATAAATAGCATCTGTATGGAATTTGGATCCTTATTCTACCTTTCCATACAAATCTTTAGTGGTAGATGAGCCTAAGATGTTACAAATTTATTTATAAGAACGAAATTCAAAATTGGCAATATTTCTCTAAGAAAGAAGTGTGGCAGAGTTTCCGTAGAAGATTTTGCCTCAATTTTAATAAAAGGTAGTGCAAGCTAGGTCAGACACGGGATGATTCAAATGTTTCAAATGATTTTGTCAAATGCATTCACTTCAACAATTAGCCCAGGGCCTAACGGTATTCTTTCAATCACGAATGCTATGATATAAAATTTTTGACTACCAATTTCTTGGAGCAGGCCAATGACTGAACCTATTATTGGACTAGCTTCAGCATCTAATTTAAACAAACATACATTAGCAGCTAAAAAGTTATGACTCAGATGGGTAGTTGGCCAAGAATTTGAATTTTGCTGAACCATCATGATTACTTTTGGCAACATGAGTGGGCCTGTTTCTGAAATTGTCATATGCTTTGGGCCCCAAAAGGTCATTTATGGATGCCTAATGTCCTCTTTGCGCCACCTGGGCCTTTTTTTTTAGCAAACTGTACCACTAAAATGAATAAATGTCTATTGAATTGAATAAACCTATATCCATTATGTGGAATATTTTGTGGAGTGTGTCATGCTATCATCGCATTAAACCATGTTAGTCAAAATAATAAAAAATTCAAAAGTACATTGTATTCTTAATTCCAAAATCTAGTTAAATTGACCATCTTAAATAAAACACTCAAAAGAAATGTTTAAATAATTGTTCATATATAGCCTAGATATATTCTAGTGCTTTATCTTTTCTTCTTTTTTCAAGCTCTTTTTTTAATTATTGTACTAGTAATCCTCCATCTATTAATGCATCTATTTGAACTCAAATTCTTAATTCTCAAGATTTACTATCATAAAACTTCAAGCTCTTGAATCTACATTTCATTTATCAAGCCTTCTAGCACACATCATTCCAAAGTAAGGCATTTTAACTATTATCATCCATCTCTCAAGTCGAGGCAAAGTGCTTGCCTCGTTGCTTAGCATCTTGAGGCAAGGTGATCGGCAGGCCTCACCTTGCCTTGATTGACATCTAAGAGATATTTTTTAGTTTCATAATTTTTAAAAATTCTCACCTAATTTGATTTGGTGCACATAGAGAAAAGTTGAGTATCAAACAATTATTAATGTCTTTAAAAGCATTTTTGATTGAGCATTGGCTACTTTTTGAGTAGTTGTTGAGTAATTGAAGATATTTC